ATCTTTTTTTTAATTTAAGACCAGTCAGTCATAATCTTTCTTGACGCCGTTATTATCATAATAATAAATAATAAGAAATAGTTTTTTTACACATTCACAAGAATTTTTTTAATTTTACAAATATTTATAACGACAACATGAGAATTGTGACAGCGACAACTCTACATTTAACACTTATAAATTATATTAAAGAACATGCATTTAGCAGCCTGTTTTGCAGATGACGTTTTAATGCCGCTGCTGACTACAACTGATTTTACTAAAAAAATACATGTCCGTATATATATATATATATATATATATATATATATATATTTTCTCTCTTACGTCTAAAGATATTACAAAGTGATGGTTAAAAAGAAATAAACAAAAGGAATAAAAAAGAAATGAAAACCGAAGTTTAAGCAATAAAAAACTTTAAAGCCGGAATTTGTTTATCGAAGTATGGCCATCTTTAGCGTATACAGAGGAAATACTGACAAAGAATTAAAAACATAAACTATTATCAACAGCAAACATTTCGCCTTCGTCGACTGCAGGCAACACCATCTATAGCAAAGCTCTCTGTTCTTGGAACCAGTATAACATACCTTGGATAAGACCAAAACCAAATTTAATGCGTCATTAAACTGCCACCTACTTCTCATGCTCAAACAGTAACTGTTTTTTGCAAAGAACATTACTCTTTTCAGAAAAATGATTTGTAGTACTCAACAATGAAATTAAGAAAAGAAATACGTATAATATTAACGCGTTAAAATTACTATTTTTGAACGCTTGTTAAGAAATTTTTTCTATAAATTACAGCAATAAAGTTAAAAAATTTAATTTAAGTGAACGTAACTGGTAACAAAAATATATCAATTTCTTCTACTTCACACAGTTTGTTATACTAAATCAACAATTATACCATTGAAGTACTGTGGAATATAGCCCATTATCAACTCTGAAACGATGCATTCTCCAATTCTTTTACTCAAAAATACACAGCTACCCGGAAACGTACATTAAACAGTTTTCAAGCAGGTTTAAATTTCTAAAAATTTATGAAAGAGATTGTTGCATGTTAACAGAAAAAGCATACATTGACCGCGCCATCACTGGAACTCAGTAAGCAGTTGAAGATTAACATCAAAAGCATACATCTGCAGTTACTACAACACGGCGCCGGTCAGTAACGTTCCAGTAACTTAGCAGCGAAAAAGAAAAGATGACCTTGAACTCGGAACTGAAAGAATCGAAGGAAGACCAAAACAGGGAGAAAGAAGAAGTAGTCTTTCGTCGCCGATGACTCTTGCTCCCTTCCCAGTTTTGTACATTTTCCCCCGTTTTTCGAAAAAAAAAAAATGCTTTCTTTTCCAAACTTTTAAAAAAAATCTTATGATTTACCAGTAATTTCAATGAAGAAAATACAAAAACTTTCCCTTGCAATACTGTCCTGGAGTAATTTGACCAACCCATGGTGTCTATTTTTCGTTCCAAAAAAAAAAACCAAAAACCAAACGTAACTGCCGGAAAAAAACAAAAAAATTCCTTTCTGACATTTTTTAACCCATTGATTGTGTTGTTGTTGCAGCTACTAAGAACCGGTATTTTCAGTATAGTTTGAGCGAAAATTAGTCACATAAATTGCACGTTTTTTCTTTTCACTTTCTACTGTTTAAAAGAATTGTCCAACTATAAAATGCCTGTTTCTTAAACAGTAAGCTCATTGTTGATCAGATATATCACCTATAGACTCACTGCTTCAGAATTTATCA